GTCAAAAAAAAAAACAAAAAAAAAAAAACAAGAAAACGTATATTTATTTTTTTGTATTAGTTACACATAGTTTTCGCCAAACGTATAGGTCGACAAAGACTATATAGGGTTATGTACGATTTGTGAGACTATGCGCCCGAGAAACTGAAGGAGAGGAGAAGACGAGAGGGGACGTCAGACCGCCGAGCTCTGGTTCGAACGATAAGCGGGGAGACCGAAAGCTAGCAGCAGCCTTTGTCTGCACTGCACTCATCGAACGTGTTCGAATGCGAAAGCCACACGCCGGGCACCGGTGTTTCGCGTTCTAACACGTTCAACGAGTGCAGACTGCAGTGAAGACAAAGGCTGCTGCTAGCTTTCGCTCTACCCACTAATCTATCCAACCAGAGCTCGGCATTCTGACGTCCCCTCCCGTCTTCTCCTCTCCTTCAGTTTATCGGGGCATAGTATCGCGAATTGTACACAACCCTATAGTAAAGATCCTTCCCCCGAAACGAAAGGAGAAATTATTTTTATTTTTTCTTCATTGTCGGGTGGAGGATGTTGGCCAATCGGCATCTTTGGATTTCCACCAATTCCTTATCTTCGTTCCCGGCGGACGCTCACCGGCGTTTTACGGTCGAAGCGGGAAAAGGTGCGACCTCGTTATGACGCGCTTATGCGTATCCATATTATGCCGGACGTCTCTCTGCCCGTACGTCATCGGTGACGCGAAAAACAGCGGGGCTCGCGACCTTGACGAGTGAACGTTGACCAAAGCTGCCTACCGTCTTCGTTGTCCGTCGACCGCCGGTCAACAGCTCAGCCGAGCCGAGTCCAGAGAAACTTTCCACGCACGTGGCGTTCCTAGATATCCTCTAACGACCGAGCGATCTGCGGTGACTGGTTTGGGGGGCCGGAGGGAGGAGGGGGGGGGGGGGGGGGGCGCTCCAAGTCTACAGTGCAGTCACCCAAGGCGATGCAGCGACAATGCAACACGCAGGAATGCTGGGCCCACCCTCCATCTCGGCAGCAAGCGGCCAAGCAGAAAGCGAGGGGGCACAGACAACAGAGGCAAGGTCAACGTCCCTCAAAATATAGCGAGATGAAGAAAAGAAACACTAAAATAGCAGGAATAGTAAAGGAGAGTGTTCTCTGAAGCTGCGCTTTCTTTCTGGTTTGGTCATGTATCGTATGTGCACTACGAACCCGCTCGCTGGCTTCCACGGGGTTGCAAGAAGCGAAAGTGTGCAGGCGAGCTGGTTCTCGTCTGCTATTCGCAACTTCCAGCGATGGTGGGACCGCGGTGTGAGAATCGCGCTCCCTAGCTCCTGGATGGACGGCTTCATAATAAAAAAAGCTTGCCTACACCTTCCTGACGTGAAACAATAAAGTATAAGGTTCTAGCACTGCTGTTCTACGACGATCATCCAGACGACAGCCATTTTGATAGGCGCCAGTGCGCTCGCTACAGGTCGTTAAAGTTGAGAATTTTATTTACTCCGTGTCGCAAGGGTCATGTTTTCACAGGGTGTTTGCGACGTTTATTTCGGAGGATTCACCACGGAAGGCGCGGAGCAAGCCAACACCACCGAGAACAATCGAAGCCCGCGCCATTTCGATGTCGTCACAGGTGAGATCAGACGCAGGCAGAGATTCGACACGAATGCAGCGTTCGGCTGGGCACCCCGCGTCCAGTAAGTCCGTTGAAGGACGGTTTGGGTAGCAATTGCTCATTTGTCGCCATCACAGTATGTTTGTTGGCGATACTAGGTGGTGAACTAGGCTGCTCACAAACCTTGATTATTCTAGGTGGCGTTGAGTGAACGCAATGTCAATCGCCGCTATCGACGCATGAGAGCAGAATAAACGACTAGGCCGGCGAGAATAGGAAACGTAAAGGCTAGTTCAGACGTTCCTATTTAAGACACTCAAACGCAAATCTAAACAAGTTTTTATGCATCCCATCCTGTGCTCAGTGTTTAGGGTCACGTGTTTTTGTTTCTTTGTTTTATTATACATGGCTTGCACATGACGTTTTGGATCGTGCTGGTGGGAATTCCTACTTTTTCTCGCCGCGAAAACCAAATTCGGCGGTGCGAACTGCATGACTGTAGAAAGCACGCGCGCCTGACAACCACTATGGCCGCTGATGTGACGTCATTACCAGCCATGTATAGGGAGTATTCACTGGCGGCCATAGCTGTGTGCGCGAATGCTGAGCGCGTGCTGATGGCGAGCTTCCACAGTTATTTTGCAACGTGCATTCCGCACCATCAAGAGTGCCGGTCTTAGCAGCCTATTGATGTGAGCTCGTTCTGAGCATGCGCTCTAAACAGCACCCACAAATACGGCGTCCATTGAATACTCCCTATACGTTGATTTCTTAGGCTAAGAAATAACAACATGCTCCGTTATATCCAGCGGCTACGCTATGTCATATCCGGCGTCTGTGTTTATGAACACAGCAGAAAGTCCACACACGTACAGGCTTCCGATCGCACTCGCTCGGATCAAGTATCGCGCGCGGCGGAACTTGGGAACAGACTCTCTCTCAACCGACGTCGCAGCGTTTAGTTCGCTGCGTCGGAGCGTTTAGTTCACTGCGACCCCAAGTCTGCATTAAGTTGGCAACGAGGAGGTCTTCGGACCCCTGGGTGCGAACAACTCCGCTCATCGTGGATGACTTACGGAGTTTATACTTCTTCCGCGGAGTCCGTGGAAGAAGTGGGCACACGGGAATTTTTAGAGGGTATGAAGTTGACCTAATACCTTTTCTTCGATGTTTTAAACGAACAAATTCCATGTTTGGTCATTTTTATCAATCTTGTACACGTTACTCGAAAAAAAAAAGTGACCGATTCCAATTCCAATTTCTCCTTCTCAAAAAGTGTTCCATTAGTTTGATCGATTACTCCAGAAAAAAAATTGGCCGTTACTTTCCGATTAGTACAGATTTTATAACTACAGATTTTTCTGCCGGTTTGTAAACGGGTCTTTCGTGCTGTGCATTATTTAATTAGGATCAGCGAAATATAAACTGCTCATCTTCTTAATTCACCAATTTTGGAAAACCATCCTCTTGTCATGGACTTGGTTCGAGGATTGCTTCGCGTAAAACTTGCACAAACAAAGGGAAGAAGAGGGAAAATAACGATGGACAAACTTCAGTACTTCCAATGGTAATCGGATTGCTCTGTCATTATTTTTTAATAAATGTATTCAAATAATTACTCAATTATTCTAAGTAGTTAACGAATACAAGTAATTTGATTACTTATCATGAGTACCCTAAAAGTATTTGTAGTTAGAGTCCCATCCGACTCATTCGATCTAAAATTACATGCCCGTAATTTTTTTTTACGCGTTGTCATATATATATATATATATATATATATATATATATATATATATATATATATATATATATATATATATATATATATATATATATATATATATATATATATATATATATATATATATATTTTTTTTTTTTTTTTGGCGCCCCAAGTTTTGTGATCAGTCAATTCCAAGTCTACTAACGCCCAGATACACAGTAGTGCTTTATTGGGTTAGATGACTTTGCGTGAGCTTACGCCGAGGTAACGATGGCGATTTAACAACGCTCCCAACCGTTGCCTTGCGTGGTTTCCGAACTCAATCGCAGCCGTTCCTTTAAGCCTTAATTGGCAGCCAAGCAAACGTATTGTCAAAACCCGTGTGAACGAGGCTTTACCTCTGAAATGAACCTGAAGTTGCAAAACGGGGAAATCGCGGTGGTCGATTGTGTTAACCTACCGCAGTTCGGAGCACGTGGAGCAACAGCTCGTTCTGCAGAACCCAGTGATCCTGGGCTTAGGTAGTCGCGGTCACTGCAACTAAGCCAGAACACCCACCGGGGCTGCCTAACTTTCTGTTACCTGAACAAACACACAATACAATTTTTCCTGAGATGCGAGTGCTTATTTTTGCCTTTTGCTTCGGTCAGAAATAGAAGGCATTCATCGCGCGCTCTTGTTTTTTTTTTATTTTTTCGGCTTCCGCGCGTGTGCGATGTGCAGTGTTCAGTTATCCCATGGGCATATGTTCGTTGCGGGTGTGCAACAAGTCTACTCATTTCTTTTCTTTTTGTTTTGTTTTCGCACGCAAAAATGACCGTATTAGTTAACATTTCGGTAAAGAAGCCCTAACAAGGGTGGATGGTTTTCAAATGCTAACGACGTCATGGGCTCTTCCTATAACTCCATGGAATAAAACCATCCGCTGCCGTTTAGGCTTTTTCTGCCTTTGACGCTTTGGGGTGTCACTTCTAAAAATACATTTTCTTTTTTTATATTATGATTTGTACGGAAGTCCGGGCTTCTATTTTACTCCGACAAAACACGCTGGCCGAAATAAGATTCGTGAAAATTGCTTGTCGATGTTACCGTCACCGCTTTCCATTCAAAGCCTTCGGGGCTTCACGCTTACGGTCCAAAGAGAAGCTTCGTTTTCGAACGAAATCGTTCCTTGAGAAGTAACGACGCACGGACACCGAGACCGCCCCCGTGCATACCGGTCCAGCCGAGGCACCGCCTTCGAAACGATATTGCTACACGATGTAATGCTCGCTGCACCTAAGAACTAGAAGACAATAGCATGCGAGGCACGTTCACCGGCGGCGCGTACCCGAGCGCAGTTCGGGCGAAGCATATTTCTCAGCGCAAAACCTGTTCTTCAAAGCCTACCCCTACTTGCGGGCCGTCTCGACGTACTGTCAGAGTAGGCGCTTGTACGCGCCACACTGCCAGCTGTCCCCGTCCCAAAAAAAGATTAAAAAAGAAGAAACGTTTGAATTGCGCGCCGCCGCCAACGGCTCAAGCACGCCCACGAGGGTCCATCGGGGGAACCGAGGCAGTCCGAAAAGACCGCGCTCCGGAGCTCCGGACGCGGGACACTTTGGAACGGCCTCGGCCCACCGGTTCGAGTCCCGCACACAGAGCCGCGTTGAGGGCCGCTTGGAAAAGCAGAGCGCGTACCTGGTGCGGCCAGAGCGACGACGACCAGCAGCGCGTGTATCCAAGCCATGGTCGTTGAAGCGTGCGACGACTTGCCGTGCCACTTCAGACTCCCGGCCGCATGGAAAGCGTCGGGGGGCTTCCGCTGTGTGTCGGAGGCGGCGCCGCCTGGCGCTGCGCAGGGGTACCACGACGCAACGGGACCGCGCACCGGGGGTCGGGGAAGGGCAAAAGCCGGGTGCCGAACGCTTCGCCCTCGGGGTTCGAGCACCTGAGACGCGCTCGCTCGTCCGACTCGTGGAACCTGCGACACGCGATCGGCCTCGTCTTCGCTCTCTCGCGCGGGGCCGCTCGTCGTCGGTCGGCATCCGCCAAGGGGCGCCCACGGCGTTGCCGTACCGTGGCGCCGCTACTCACCGGGCGGGCGAGCGAGAGCCGGCACACTGCCCCGATGGGACGGCCGCTCTCAAGTCCGAACTTGGGCTGCTCCCTGGCTATAGGGTGCCGAAATCTTGGCGTGTTGGTATCTGGGTGCTGACATGAGACCATTTCACGTTGATACGGCTTTTTTTTTTTTTTTTTTTCCTTTTTGCTCCGTGTTCAATAAGCTATATCATGCGCAAACCGTGGCGCGTACAGAAAAAAAAAAGAAAAAGGGAGGGGGGGGGGGGGGGGGGGGGGCGGGGGCGTTCGAAGAAGACGACGAATTAAAGGTACTAGTATGCTTAGGATGGAGGTAAAATATTTCTATAGTATATAAGGGACTCCTTGGCCAGTGCTTTACTTTGGTATGCACTAGTAAAGCCCCTTGATAAAACTGACGCTTGAGATTTCTTACAAGTACCGGTAACCATAGTTGTGGGTACGCCCAAGATACGCTTCACGAGCTAGTTCTTCGCTGCCATTCGCTTCCAAAAGCCACTCACTTCTGTGCAACTCCGCCATTTGATTCCGAGGGCTGCACGCAGTGATGTTGCCAGGGGGCTTCAGCTCCCCCCCCTACCCCCCCCCCCCCCCCGAAATCCTGGCGCCTCCCCCCCCCCCCTCTGCACCCCAAGTCGTTGACATCCTAGCCACCCCCCCCCCCCCCCCCCCCTCCCCGCCTAAAAAAAACAAAAAGAATTCCTGGCTACGGCACTGGCTGCACGAGGCATGCACCTTGTGGAGTGGCGCATTTGGCGCTACTTGCGAACACAAATGCATCAAGGGGCTTCATGTGCAGCAACAACAACAGCAAAACAACAACAAAAACAGCAACAACAACAATTCAGTCCTGTTTTTGTCAACCGTCTAATAGAACATGGTGGCGGCGGCTAGTTACCGCCGTCATCCTCGTTTATTGGAAGAACAGGTCCGCTAGGACGGCGACAACGAACCGATAGCCAACAGAAGACTTCAGTACTCAAGAACCTGAGGTGCGAATTGCCATGGAGGCTCCATTCTTAGCATGTTACCCATCCCAAGAGCTAGACTTTTCAAAGTCAGAGGGCTGAACCCGGTGGATTTGTAAGTTCATGCGCTTCCGAGTGGTGAGTTGACGCAAAGAAAAGAGCGGTTCGAGCAAGTCAAAACTTTGATGTACTGCATGGGGACCTTTCTTCTCTGTTTGAAACTGACAGAGGAACAACTGCAGCAGTTCGTTGTAGTACGAAACACGTTCGAATTACATCTTGAGGTTTGGCGAAACATCATTTAGGACATGGCAAAGTTTCATTCGAAAGTTCAAGGTTCGTCAGAGTCAGTAGAGACTTCACCTCGACGTGTACAGTGGTGCCTCAGATGGTGCCTCCTACCTCAAAGAATTAGATAGAGCTTTCGCTTTTTTCAGACGAGGGACCTATTCTTCAAGGAATGAGGTGTGCTTTGCACACACTGCGCTCGCTGTACATGACGCTCTCAAGTCTACAGCTGCTAGCGATATCGTACAGAAGGCCCGAAAAGTTGGGAAAAAAAGGAGGTCGCAGACCGCGCTGTCCCTACTTCGGAAGCTCAATCTGACGAAGCCCATCCTGGAAGGCGTAACAAGGTGGATGTCCACCGGGGGTCATGATGCGGCGATTGTTGGAGCTGAGAGAGTTCTGCGACGAGTTTATCGCAGATGACGATGAGCACCGCCTGACTCAAGAAAACTTGCAAGCAATAAGCAACGTAGTTGCCTCCCCACGGGGCCGACCGAGGAAGCAACAGTTCAGCTTAAAAGGGAACAACTAACTTTGGGGAGACTTCTACGAAGCATGGCTCACGTGTCGAATTGAGACGTCAAAAATGGACACCCCTGTCGCGATTCAGCTAGCCGCTGCCATGAAAAGGCGAGAAAAGGGGTTGCTCGGAAGCGACATATTCTGTGCGGCTATATTTTTGGAACCTGGATACCATGTCACGCTAACAAGCGAAAAGAGGTCCAGAGCAAAGTATAGTGCATCTGCTACTGGCGTAAAGGAAGCTTCGCGCGCTTAAAGAAGATGCCCAGCCACAGAAACCCCAAGCACCGTGTACTATGGGGAGTTCCACTTGCCCTGATGACGGGCTCAAAGCGTTCCTCGTGGAAAAAGAAGACGGCTGCATGAAAGCATTTAGCGACCATCCTTCGATCTTTGGGGAAATTCAGGCCTTACTGGACGGCTTTGAAAAGGTGCCCCGAATTAACGAGGGTAGTATTGCCTTGGAATTTTGGGAAAAGGAAAAGTCGCGGCGCCCCGAATTATATTCACTTGCACTAGTCCTCGTGCAGTACCGGCCACGCAAGTCAACGTGGAAAGGTCCTTCTCGGGGTGAAAATGCATCCTATCATGCCAACGAACGCGGTTGAGCCCGGACATATACCAGATGATGTCTTTTTTCTACGGTCGCTTCACGCAGCCAAGGCAGAGCGTAAAATTCAATAAAATTAATATGGCGTGTGCATGTAACAATTTTGGAGAAGCACTCGTTCACTCCTGCATTGGATATATTTAAATTTGTGTTTGATGAATAAAAGGCTGGTACCCAGTCCCATCAAGTCTTGTATTTTTGAAGATCATTCCAATAGAGACAGAAGGAGCCAACAAAATCAATTCATCAGCGCTTATTTTATAACGTAGTAATCCACATTATTTTTGAAGATCATTCCAATGGACAGAAGGAGTCCACAAGATCTATCCATGAGCGCTTATTTTATACCGTAGTAATCCACTTTATGGCACTAAAGGTGTGCGAATATTCGATTAAATTTTTCATTTCTTCCTTGAATCGTTATATGAACCGGTTCAAACCGGTTTAAAACCGGTTCGAACAGTTATTTTTTCCACTCCGGAGCTGAACTTGAATCGAACCGAAATATACAAAACGTAACCTGAACCAAACTGTAAAGAGTTGAGGGTTCGACAACCTGTTACTACAGCTCCGATTGCTGGTAAGACTTTAAAGGGAAACTCAAGCGGTTCTGTATTTGAGGGGAAAACACTTAAATCGTCTTCAATTGGCCTCCAGGATCACGAATATCGAGATGATTGTTCAATTCGGTGCAGGGAGGCTGCAGAAAATCATTTTCAAAGTGCCCCTGAAGCCCTTCCTTCCCGGAGCGTGACGTCATACTGAGAGTTTTCGGAATCTCCGCTCTCGCACAACTTAAGCGCCTGTCAAAGCTATACACAAGAACTCTCGCTATTTTTTAAAGAAAGGTAAGGAAAATCCCGACTGCTGTCTGTGCGGGGGAAACATACTTGGTACGCTTGCAATGGATCTTTTTCACATAAAGACGACATCAAGTGGCTAAAACTCCCACATATGGCGGATGTATGGAATGGAGCTGCGATACCTTTCCCGCGTTCTCTGCGGCTGATCGGAGCCGCGGAAGAGGCAAGAGAGGTAGTCCCACCATTCTTCCGGACTCCAACCGAAGTTTGAGGTTTCGCCGCTGCGAAAGGAAGGCCTGCGCATGTGCAGAACCAGCGGCTCCGGAAGTATATCTGATCTGTAGGGGTGACGTCTGGGGGCTCATGTCGCATGGTGTAGTTCACCTTTCTCTCTCTCTCTCTCTCTCTCTCTCTCTCTATATATATATATATATATATATATATATATATACAACGGGCATGGTGGCGGGAGGCCGAAGGCGTGGGTATATAACTGAGAAGAAAAAACCCTTAGTGAAAACAGCAACAACGGACGATTTAATCTTCGACGTTTCGACCGGAGTCCGGCCGAAACGTCTTCCTGACGAAGGCCGGACTCCGGCCGAAACGTCGAAGATTAAATCGTCCGTTGTTGCTGCTTTCACTAAGGGTTTTTTCTTCTCAGTTATATATATATATATATGTGTGTGTGGTTTGTCTTTCGCGTTGGATTAGCCTGTGGCGCGTCGTCGCCTATGGAGTGCAGCTTCAACATGCAACAGCCTCACGGGTGGAAGGGGAGAAGAGGGGAGGGGAGTCGGAACAGCTTTGAGTGTGGGGGCATGCCCCCACTGGTTCAAAACCTGTCCCCACTGTCCCGCCCCCCCCCCCCCCCCCCCCCCCCCCCGGTTCCGGAGCCCCTGTGTAGAACCCATCTTGAGAAAGGTCCATTGCACGCACTACCCACACGAGCGACACGCGCTTGGCGGTCGAAAGATCCTAGTACGACATAACGACTGGTCGTAGGTTTTTCCGGTTTGCTTGCGTTTTTGTTATATCTTCGGGGAAAACGAGCGTGATATTCAGATTCACGGGGTAACAATACTCTAAAAATCACCTCTAACTCGTTATTTTTTTAAGAAGCTTTTTGGCTTTCTTTTAATAAACAAAAAAAAATACACGGATATTGCAAACTATTACTTGCATGGTCGTTTCATAGTCTGATCTTGCTTTATTGCGCAACAAAACACCGGTGCATGCTCTGGGCAAAAGTAAGCGATCGATCGCGGCAAAATAAAGGCGCCTAACCTCACCTCTGCGTCCTTTGATTGAGTTTTCTTTCATTTCTGTTCTTTCTCTCGGGTCCATATATGTGAGCGTGAATTATTAGCAATGCTCCAGTCCCGCCCTGCACACCCGCAACGGGCAGGGGTGGGGATCGAACCCAGGATCCCTGGGTTCTTCAGCGAAAACTTGCTCTCCATGTGCTCCGAGCAGGAGTGCGCTAGCCCACTCGGCCACCGATCCCCCTTCAGTGCACTCTTTCAAAGAAAGGGTCTTATAGCCCTCCCTAAAGGGAGGAACGCACTTGCAACCTATGCTCCTTCAGAAGGCGGGAAACTTTCGTCCCTGAAAGCTGGGGCGCTAAATTCCTCCGTCGTCTGCATCTCATTATGGAGGCCCCGAGTCGAGCAAATCGAGCTGACTAAAGCCGGAG